TCTTAAACAATTTTATTAATGTTCTATTACATTAAAAAAATAAAAGATTCAAAGAATTTTTCAAAAAGTTAAGAAGGTAAAATCATTTCAGAAAGCTAAGGATAAAGTATAAATAATCTTCAAAAGTTTAAGATTAGATGATTGTTTTTATTATTTTATTTGAATTTTTTTTGCATTTTGAAATATAAATTCTTTTATGATTATGAACAAGAAGAAAAGAATTTTCTCAAATTTGGAGAGTGAGACTATCAACTTGATATCTCTTTGGTTCTTAAGCCCTTTAAGGGCATGTGTTTCTTTTTTTTCCTACATAGCCATTGTTGACCGTTGCTAAAACAGAATTCAATGCTTGAAATATTATGCTCAGCTGTATTTTCCTCATTTTGTGATCTTTACAATTTCGAGTATTTGGGAGTGGTTGTGTACCCTCGATGCATAGTGTAAGTATAAATTAAAAAAAATGAAACAGTTGAATCTGTTGCCTTGTTGATTCCAGTTTCTCTTGTTTGCTCTATTATTTGCTTCTTATTTTTCTTCTTTGGAAAATGTTTTGTTATCTAAACCTTGTGAGCTTGATTCGATTTTTCTTCATAGTATCAGAGCAGTTTTCTTAAAGGATCATTGCCTCTTTGGCTGATTGGTGATTTAAGGAAAATATCTATGGCGGCCACTGGGTTTTCAGCATCAGCACCACCAACTTTCACAGGCTCAAATTACAAGGTTTGGGCAGTGAAAATGAGATCCTACTTAAAGGCATTTCACCTCTGATATGTTGTGGAGAGTGGTGAAATCCTTGTGCAACGACACGCTAACCCAACCATCGCTCAAATAAGGCAGCATAGTGAGGAGGTTGCCAAGAAGTATAAACCTTTAATCTGTTTTCAATTAGCTATATTTGAAAGTATATTTGCTGGGATTATCATTTTAGAAGATCCTAAGTTAGTTTGGGATATATTGAAAGAGGAATTTCAGGGTAATGAAACCACTAAAATGCATCAAATTATGAGTCTAACTAGAGAGTTTGAAACACTAGAAATGAGGAATGATGAGGGAATCTAGGCCTATTCTGATAAAGTCCTTAGGATTATTAAATTAATTACATTATAATTATAAATTAAATTTCCAGAGATAGAATATAGACGTTAAGGTTTTAGTTTCTGAACATGTAATGGAATCTTGTGTCCACTTCATCCTGGGTAGTTGGTTCGAAGGAAATTCTGCAACATTAGTTGTCAAATCCCCATTGAACTGATGAATTACTTTTGAGGAGGAATTAAAGTAATCGAGATTCAGGTTATTAGCCTGTTAATACATACTTGAGCAAGCTATAGCAACTACTCAGATCATGCTACATTCAGAGTTTATTACTTAATTAAATCTTTTTAACAATTGACAACTTCTTATAAGTTCTTTTCTATATGTATTTAACATACACATATTGGAAAGTAATTGATAGAAAAATATATTGAAAGAAAAAACAACAAACATTTCAGGATTTAAAAAAGAGAAAATCACAAAAAATGTTTTTACATCTTAGTCGATGCCAAAAACTGAGATGAACACAGATCATTCAACCCCAATCAAATAATTCTAAAGCCAATCTGATAATTGGGCAGAGTTAATAAAGTTTGCATTCAATTTCTCACAGTCGAGATGATGATTGTGGGGGTTGTTCAGCTACCCTAAACTTAGTTGACAAAAACAATATTTCACTCTTCCAACGTGAGCAACTAAAGGGTAAACTCAGTTGATTTAATGTGATGTTGGTCAACATACCAACTAGGTTTCCTTCCCAACAACAGCCCCCTCTATTGTATTAATACATTGGCCAATTGATCTCCCCACTGCCATTGCCTACACTAGTCTTGATCTAGTTTCATTATAGCGGTGCAAGATTAAAACAGCATTCAGTGCAGCACGTCTAACTTGATCATCTGCTTGACTTTCTGTGTAGCCCAACCGTCTACGTACTTTATCCAGATGCTTCTATTAATGGGAAGTTCTAGCTGTTAGTAATCTGAAAATAACTCATGGCAACATCATTTGAGCAGTCGAATGTACCTTGTTAACATCAGCCATTGGGTCCCTCTATATATGCATCCAAATTTGTAGATGCTCAGCTACTAGGCCTCCTAAGACCACGCATGAAAATTTGCTCAGAGTCTGCAACGCATGGTATCAGGCAGAAATATATGTAAGTGATGTTCTTCGTATGATTAATAAGACCATTGCATGCTGTATGCATGTGTGTCTCAGTTTGTAGAATGCACTCTGTTTGACTGTACCTATGAGGCTTTGTCTTGGGAACAGAGCTTGAGTTCTGAGAAATGTCAAGGTTAGCATGCCTGTTATTCCTCTCTTCCCACATTTCTTTTCTCATCTTCAGTGATCTTTTGGAAGTCAAAGTACTGCAAATAAACCAAATTCCATGGACTTTATACCGTGAAGACTTGGAGACCATTTCATTCTTTAATAATATTTCTTTTCCTTGGTCATCACCCATGCATGATATTAAAAGAAAAAGCATTATAAAAGAGCAGATGAACAAATTATTCCTGTTCGACTACCAAACTATAGTTACTAGTTTTTGTTAGTACCAGCTGAAGTTGCCCCATCTCTTGCCATCCTACATGCCATATCTATTATCTGATTTCTATTGTGTTAACCAGACAAGCTTTCAGTCAATTCTTCTGTTAGCCCTGAAACCTAGGAACTTAATGATGCTGATGCAGCATGCATCTAGCCATCAAGACCAAATTAAGAAGGGCCCTCAAACAATTACAATGGTAGAACCCAATAGTTGCAGAATAGTGGGAGCTACCTGCAGAAAAAGAGTGTTTCTCACCTTGTTCGAAATGCTACGAACTCTGGCCTGCAAGGTGCAGATATACATAACTTATAAGTTGCCTTAGCAAGTTAGCATTAATATTATACCATAAAACTAGCATCAAAGCTATTTCCTTTTCTCGATCAGTATGGCGATATGAAATACGTACTGAAGAAAAGTAATCACAACAATTTTTTACTTGAAGAGACTCAATCTCGTGAAGACTACACTTCCAGCGTCAAATCTATCATCCTGCAACTCCTCTATGCTTGGTATTTTATAACCTTGTGGAAGAACCCCCAGCAAATAACCAATTAGACAATGACCAACTTCATGCTACACATTCATACATTTCAACTATGTATCAGCCATCAGCCTTTTCCAAATTATTAATTACAATTTCACATTTTGAATGTTACAAATTCTACTAAACGCCCCTTTTTTCAGTTCCATTCAAGGTTATATTAAAATTATTAATCTTTAAAAAAGAAGAAAAAATTGGAAATTCTTACATGTAAACAGAAACGACGGTAATGTTCAAAAAAATAGGAGCAATCATTGCTTTCATTACTTAAAATCTGTAAAAAAAGAAAGAAACTTCATTAGAATCAGTACTTTTGCTTCCTGAAAAGAATGAAAAAAACGATTACCTCTTCTTGTAAAGAACACTGAATGCATCTTTTAATTGAATCCGACACCAAATCAACCGTTGGTTTAGGACAAGATATATCGACCTCGTTGATTACCAATTCGTCCGAAAGCTTCTTAGGTACCTAATTGGGCAAAAAATAAAAAAGGATATTAAAAGAAAGAAATGTGTGTAACTTTCCTGGTAAATGAAATTAAAAGATAGAATTATTTATTCGACCTATTTGGCGGTGCTGAAGGCGCAGAGGCCATCGGTTTGGCGTTGAAGGTATTTGAGGAGAGAGAGAGCGGTTCTAAAGTTGCGTTTTGAGAGCTCTCTGTCGACCCTTTGTAGAGCTCCGCGACACGCCACCGTCGGCGGAGTCGATTTGTGCAATTCATTCTTCTGTCATCTGGTAGATACGGCGTCGTTGGAAATCGGTTAAAATTTCAAGTCATTGGTCGTTGGGTAGGGTAAACAAAATTACTAAAAAGTACATTGATTGTCTAAATTAATTTGAATTGGTGTTCCTGTGAGTTAAATACTTTAAAAAAAAAGACAAATAAAACCAACTAAATAATTTAATTGATAGCAAAAAATAAGTGAAAATTTTTTAATTTAATAAATTAATAAATTGATAAGGGTATTTAGGTCAATCATTTTTAAACAAACCAATAATGCCCTGTTATTTCCTCTACAAATTAATAAAAAAACAAATTCTTGTCTTTCTTTATTGACAATCCAAAAATGAATAAAAAAAAATTAAACAAAGCAAGTAGGCCATGGTGAAGGAAATAAAGTAGGAAAATGAAGATTATGGAAGCAGAAGATCTACTTACCATCTCACTTCAATCCAAGGAACATGTAGAGTCTCGCAAGTACAAAAACAATATTTCCTTCTTCCAACTTGAGCAACTAAAGGTCAAATTCAACTGTCTTCAGAATTTTCGATATTCTGCAAACATAAAAATAAAAAATTAAGTATGGGTCGATGAGCAATTGCAAAAAAAAATCAAAATAAGAAACCAAAGCAACATAAGAGTATCTTTTAAATTGATGCTTACCCCTTCTTCAAATATTTGTTTTATAGTAGTTTTAAGGTCACTTTCCCACCACCCTTTTTCTTCATCTTCATTTTTGGTCCATGCCACTTTTTGCAATTGTGGTGTGCTTACATCTCCTTGGCAGAAAATCTTCATCTTTGGGCATTCTCTCACAATCATTTTCTCGAGGGTAGGGAATTCAAAGTTTTGATCCCCTAAGCAGAAGCTAGCCAATGTTGGTAGACAACTTAGTTTCAAAGACTTCAGTCGGGTAAAAACAATGCCTCCTTTCCCTCCATCACACTCTGCTTTAAGCTGTCCATGCCATATCTCTTTCATAATGCCATTGCACTCCAATGTTAATTCTTCTAGATTGCGGAATGTAACCTGAAAATTAACAAATGTGTTAGACTAAAGTTGAAGATTTTGAACTAATCGATGATGTAAAAACATTCTCACCAACCCATTATAGGAAGTCAAAGTTACATTAGGTGAACCATCGAGAAGATCTCAATATTCCGTTTTTGCTAACAAATTGAGCTCTTGAAGCTAACAGTGAGACACTATGTTTATTATGGTGGGAATGCAACATAAGAATGGAAGAGACACAAATCAAATGTTAGATTGCATGAGTATTGTGAATATCATTGTATGGAAAAATTCTTCAGCTTTTTGATAAATTGCCTCTTACCAACATTTCATGTACATGAAATTGCCTCATCTAATTTATCTTTTTCAAAACGCTCCTTAAAACCAAATCTAAAAGTGCCATAAGATGCATCTATCTGAGTTAAGCAAGATGAAAACACCATAATTGACTGAATATGGTTATTTTAACATAAATCTTATGTACAAGCTACAATATTGGAGCAATACTGAGACATGCTTACGAGATTATAAGAAAAAAAAGGGCAAATCCATTTGGATTTGATAAGAGTCTTGACTCAACAGACCATATAAATTTGACATTGAAAATCAAGAGCAAGCTAAATGTTTAAAGGTTTAACATAGTTTTTGGTTCTGATACCTCATTTACCCAAAACAGGGGTTGCTGATTTGTTGATTCTCCGGAACTTAGAAGATTTTGTGAAGCAAATATCTCCACTTTATCACATCCATATATCCACATTTTCTTTAATGATGGCCACTCCATAGTATGTATCCGAGAGTAGAAACTCCTCAATCTTGGCAGCTTGTGAAGTTCAAGGTATGTTAGTGCAGGAAATACAAAATTAGTAGTTGTTTCTTCCACAATGGATTGAATGGCTGTCATTGTATGAAATTCGCTAGCATTGAGCGCTTGGGGTTCAAATATTTCTTCTAATGACTCACAACCACGTATTTGGAAATCCTTTAGATTTTGGAGTCTTGCCCTCATACTAAGTGGAAAAATGTTCAAAAGTCCATTGCATTCGTACACCCAGAGAAGATTTAGCTTGAAAAATGAATCACCAACAAGCTGATCAGGCCATATCTTCCTGCAGTTTGCCATATGTATGATTTTCAATTCCTCTAACTGAGGGAAAGCCACCTGCTAAAGTTATTTGATTGCGTCAATAATTGCACATACAGATAATAATATAGTGGATCATAATGGAATTTAAATTTCCCTATTATTAGCAGTCATAATAAACAAGTTAAAGTTTGAAAAGAAAAATATTTTAAACGTGAAGAAACCATGCGTAGAAACTAACCTTATCATCGAAAAAGGGTGCAACTCTCTCTTTATCCTGCTTTCCTACAAATGCAGATGCGAATGCTAACATTTGTGGACAATTATCTACATTGATAGATCGCAAAGATGGACATTCCATTGTAATACTTCCCAAACAAAAGCTCCTCAGGTTGGAACATGACTCAACAGTTATAGACTCAAGCCTGGGTAACTTAATTGAATTCTTTGCTGCTTCTTCATTTGTGATAATTTGCTCCATCATAGGGCAATTTTTTACTTTCATCTCTCTCAATTGCTGAAGCTCCAAACCCATGGTAACTGTAAATATGTACTTCAAGCTACTACAGTCGCAAACTTCTAAATATATAAGATTTACAAAATCTAAAACTCCTCGAAAGTTTTGCTTCCATAATTCTAATGAATTAGAAAATTCGGAGAGTACTAAATACTCCACTCCTTTGTATCCAACCTACAAAATCCAACAAAGAAAGAAAGATTAATTTCAAAGGTAGCTATAAGAAAGAAAGAAATCAAAATAGAAACCTAAAGTCAAATTAAGCAAACAAAAGCATCTACCAACCAAAAAGATTAACAAGAGCCAACTAATTTCTTAGATAAATTAAAAGAGTAGGTACCTTTTCGGCGTACAATTGTTGGACAGTGGTGTTAATGTCACCACCCCAATGTCCCTTATCATCTTCATGTGTTTCTTGCACTCTTTGCAGCATTGGGGCATCTAAAACTCCCTTACAAAAAATCTCCAATTCGGGACATTTGCTCACAATTACTTCTTCTAAAGATGGGAACCCAAATGTGTGGTTGCCTGAACAAAAGCTTTTAATTTGTGGTAAATCACGGAGTTCCAAACTTTTCAACTTGCTGAAACTAATGTTGTATGTTGCTTCATCACCCTCATTTCCAACTATTTCCTTCATGGAAATGCACTCCATTATCCTCAATTTTTTGAGTTGGGCCAGACTTTGGATTGCTAAAGATGTATCTAAGCAGATCATTGCTTTGCAGCTCCACACATCCAACGTCAACAGATTTTGAAATGATGCTGAGGATGATCCTAAACTAATCAGTTTTTTCACAATGGTAGACTTTAAGAGTTTCCAGATTAGGGAGAATGCGGTCTACTTGTACGTCCTGACTCCATAATCGTTTGAGATTATGAAGACGAATCAATTTTAAGCTTCTGATCGTCGGTATTGTCCCAGCATCTCTTTCATTGCAGAACAGCTCTTTGAATTCATAACAAATCACCACAAGCTTTTCTAGATTGTCAAATCTTTCAAGGAAAGTAACTGGGGAAACAACTGAGTTACCAGGGTTGTTGCATACCCAAAGAACTTTTATTTCACCAAAAAGGCTTCTTGACAATTCACTACCATTTACCATCGCAACGTCATCACTATTTAATGACAATGTTTCTAATCTAGGGATGACCTGAAAACCAATAAAATAATAGTTCTGGAGTCAAACAAAAAAACAGAAAAAACATGTGCACACACAAACACAATGTGTGTGTACACAAATCTTCATACACCCAGATTACATTTCAAACTTTTGAATACTTCTTTTTAATCACAATCATTTTCAGTTTCACAATTAAAAGTATGGGTTTGACTGAAACAAGGTATATGTACTCCATTTCTTATTGCACATTCAATCACTTAATTTTTCATAAATTTTTATTTTGGTCTTTTAATTTTAAATAATCACCATTTGGTTATCAAACTTTGGGAAAGTTCATGTTTATCACTCAGTTGTTAGAAGCCAATGGTTGACTTTTTTTTTTCTTTAAAAAAGCTAATAATTGACCTTTTTTTTTCTAATGATTAAGTGATCAAAATAAGAATTTTCACAAATGTTGATGACCAAATCATTATTTTTTAATCTTGGATGAATAAAATAGAAATTTTCAAAAAGTTAAGTGACTAAATGTTTAATATCCTTTTTCTTTTGCTTTTTCTCTTTGAAACTATCAAATTTGAAATTATCATCTGTAATTGTGAGTGAAATCAAAACATGCAAGTGATTTTACATATCAGTCAATTTATATAACATCAACTAGCTAGTCATTGACATATGCAATTTCATGCAAAAATAAAGGTAAAAATTTGATTTTGTAGTATTTAATGATTTTTTATAAGATCAAATTTGATTAAAATGATTTTCTTTTTTGTTTTTTGCACTCTAGTTTGTTAATAAAAAGTTGGAAATATAATAGCTAGTACAGTACAAGGACCCAATTAATTAGCTTTTTACATAAACGTTAGCATCTTAATTAATTGAGGAAGAGTGGAGGTAGAAGCGCATGCGTACCTTTTCTGCCAACAAAAGGGGTGGATGGATTACTGTGGACTCAAGTTGTCCATCGACTTTAGCCATATCTGGAATGCTTAGACGTTCTGTGCCCAATATCTTTATTCTGCCAGAGTCATGTACTTTTAACTTTTTTAACATCGGCCACTTTGTCACATGCACCCCGGGTAGAAACATTTGAGTTCTCGTAGCTCCAAAGGTAAAGGGAGGATAATTGATCAAACTCGAAAGTGACAGCCGTTTCCAATTGTTCCTCCTTGGAAACAATCTCCTCCACTCCGCAAAAACCTATCAGAAGATCTCTAAGTTGTGAAGAACTTTGGCTACAGAGGCTGGAAATACATTCTTCAGACTCAAACACTGCCGACGTATTACCGCAGATTTTCAAATGTAAAAATTCCTTTGGGATCATTTTTCCAAATATTCTTAAGGTTTGGTAGATCCCAAATATACAACTCTCTTAGTTGAGTGGTGACAGCACCTGTTTCTTCCATATTTGACCTTCCACTTCAAACACCTCTTCTACCGAAACACATTTGTTAACTTTTAGAGTTTGCAGTCCTTGAAATGCTCTCAACATATTAGATGGAAAGATGGTCAATAGCTCGTCACATTCTTCAACTTCCATTTCTTGCAGTTTGTGAAAGGAATTCGCAGCGAGTCTGTTCTGCCATATCATCTTCATGTTTCTCATTTAGAAATAGAAATTTTCTCCAAACTAGGAAAAGCAACCTGTATGTAATTATTTCATGCCAATTAATGAGATGTTCAGAAACATTTGCTCTTATAATCAAGGCCAAAAGCATGGCAATGGAAAACATGCATAATAAAGGATGCTAACAATACTCTACCTTCTCGTCAAAGAGAACTTGACTAGAAAAACTTTGGCTCCCTTCCATTGTAGATTCGTATATGAACCCTTTAGTTCTGGGCATTTCTCTATCTGTAGTGACTTCAAGGATGGAAATTCAATATTCCGATGTCCTAACCAAAATCCAATGAGATGCTGAAGCCTGTAACTTTAGAGAGTTTAATTGAGGAAATAAAATGTTATCTTTCGCTTCTTCCTCTATATCCTCTGCAAAAATTATCTCTCTTAAGCACTTGCATCCAATTATCTCAAAGCATTTGAGATGCACAAGCTTCCTAGACATAGAAAATGATAATAAACGTTTTAAGTTGCCACACCCCTCGATGATCAATCTTGTCAAATTCTCATGATTGCAGAAAGAATCATGCCATGTCCTTTCAACTTAATTGAGGACAACCGCAAATTCTCCAAGCAAGGAAACAACGACTGCAGACATGTAATTAATCTAGATTAGAAATAATATGAAAAAAAAAGAAAAAGACAACGGATGAAGACTAGCTTATGTAGCATAATTACATAACATTCTATGATTAGAAAGGAAGGATGGGTTTGCCAATTCAAAGGCAACTGAGCTCAGGAGAAATAATTACTTCCATTTCAAAAAGAAGTGATTTCTAATGTATTAAACAATCACTGAAGTGGGTTTTGTTGATGTTCAGGCTCTAAAATGGGCACTATGACATGGTTCGGTTTGTCACCAGTGGATGGTAGCGAAAATCGAAACAAAAGGACATGGCTTTCACACAATGTGGCAATCTGTTCTTTTTAAAGGGAGGAGAAGGCATCAGTTTTTTTTAGAATGTAGATATATATTGAAATTTATTTATCTGAATGAACAAAATCTCTAACCTAAGATCTCTAACTATGCCCTCACTCATCTTACAATTATGCTAGGCTCTTGGATATAACTTTACCAAAGGATAAGTATAGCACTAGACAATTTTTATAAACGGATTATAGAGTGTCAAACTTAGAATAGATATTCAATGTATGTTTTTACTTATAATATATGTTTTTACTCATAATAGATATTCAAGGTCAATTAGCAAAAAGTCGAAAGGAGGGAGATTCTAAAATAATACTAATTTAACATTTGAGAACATTGGCTGTACATAAGAAGAAAATGTTAAGAAAATAATAAATGAGATCAACATATACCTTAGAATGAGTAAAAAATTGAAAAGTAATAAATACCTTTTCACTAAATAAAGGCAACTCATGTTGAACCCTGGAGGTTGAGCCGTTTTCGTCTTCAGAACAAAAGCTAATGAGCTTAGATAGATTTTGAAGTGTCAAAGATTGTAATTGAAGAAACTCATTTTTATCAACTACACCATTATCATTAATGATATATTTGATCACTGAATCATTTTGGATATGAAGATTCTTCAAATGTGATAAGTTTTCTTCATCTTTGAACTCTTGCATTGCACTCGTGACACTTTCAAGGTCATCTAAATATAAAGCTTCAGTTTTCTTCACTAGCAACTTAATTCCATGATCCAAATGATCAATACTTGTACTTAATTTGAGCTTCAGAGTCCTTGAATACTCATACTCATCAAACCACTCCCATTCCTTTCCTATGAAAATCTTGTATCTTTCCAACTTTTGCAACTCTTTAAAGAGCAAGACCCCTAACATGGCCTCGACATCAGGAATATGGATTTCTAAAGTGGTTAAACTAGACAGTGTTTTCAATTCAGCAAGACTAGCATTGCTTCGTTGGTTGGCATGGCCCCCTACTTCCCATTGAATAAAAGTGCCACCCATATGTAATTCTTCTAATTTGGACAAACTTGATAAGACGCCTGGTGAAATTATTTTAAGTTTAGTACAATAACTTAAATCTAATAACTTCAACTTAACCAGTTGCCCAATTTCCTTAGGTAGTATTTTGATATCAGATTTCAAAAGGCTAAGAATTTCTAAATTCTTGAGCTTTCCAATAATGGCTATATCTCCAAATTCACATTGATCTAGACACAGTGTAAGAAGACTAGTTAGAAGACAAATTGACGGAGGTAAAGAAGACAAATGCATATATGTCAAATCTAAGACCTTAAGATTTGTTGTTTCCCTAAAGAAGTTAGGTGGCACTTTCAGGGAAGGATCCTTGCTAAAGATAAGTAAAAGAACAAGCTGTGGACAATTCAACTGGTCAGGAAGCTCTCCAATATTAGGAGAATTCAAACAAATCTTGTTCCACATTTTCATTGTCTCTCCATCAGGCCAATCTTTCGAAACACGCTTCTCATTTAATACAAGGACGTGATTGTCCTTAAAAGCTATTGACATGGCGACATCACGAACAAGATCATGCATATCAAAACAACTGTTATTGGTGTTACTACCAAGTAACAAACACGAGTCTTTGAGGTTACTCACCATTGTTAACAACTTATCTCGTGCTTCCATCATGCTGTTGACACCATTAATTAAACCCAAACCAATGGCATATTTCAACAAGTCATCAATTGAACCACAAAGCACTAGACTGCAAAGCAGGAGAACCTGTTTAAGTTCTTCACTTTCTAAATGATTGTAACTCAACTCTATAGCTGAATATACAGGGGCGGATATCCCACTGAACTTGTCTGAGCAAAGCCTCTGTAGTTGCCGTAAAGCATCCTTCCAAGCAAATAAATTTTTATTTCTCAATGCCCTTGAAACTGTTGCAATGGCCAGCGGCAATCTTGCACATCTTTTGGCTAGCTCAATTGCTGTAGATCGAAACTCAGGACTTTTGACACTGGCCCCAGCCATCTTCCTAAACAAGTCCCAAGCCTCTTCATCGTCTAAATCACCAATTGAAAAAGTTTTCTGAGAATCCATCCCATTGGAGAGAACATTTTGATCTCTTGACGTCAGCAATATCTTGCATCCCTTGTGTTGGTTTCCAAATGGAATTCCAACTTCCTCAAGATCCAGTTTCTTCCAAATATTATCTAAAATAACAAGAACCTTCTTCTCTTTCTTCAACCTTTCACACAGTCTACGTGCTCTTACAACCGTACTCTTATCTTCCAGTCTGAGACTTAATAATTCTGCAATTTGATCTTGAATTTTTTGAGTGTCAGGAGTCTGAGTCACATTTACGGTTACCACCGAATCAAATACCTTAAGCTCTTGGACTTGTCTAGCAACCTCCTTGACTAGTGATGTTTTGCCTATACCAGCCAACCCGTACACCCCTATCATGCTGATAGTAGCATCTTTCACTGCCTCCATGATATCGTTGAAGACCTTTTCTCTTGATTTGAAGGTCTCAAAGTCTTTACGAGATGCGTCCAATATAGCTTCTGGAACATCACGGTATCCCACTCCGTTAAATTGACCTTTTTGTTGGATAAGGTCGTCAACAGTCATGACACATTTTTCTGCCTTCCTGCTAAGCTGGTAGCGAGACTTAATATTGGGACACATGCCAATGAAGCACTTGTTCTTTGCTTTGTCTTGAAGATCCTTCACTTCCTTCACGTCTTCATTGATTGCCTTGTCCACTCTATCGCACCAAAGCTTGACGTCCGGTTTTATCTTCTCCACGTTCCTTTCTGCAGTCTCAATCTCTAGCTTCACACTTGTTCTTTTTGCCATCAACATCTGAAGTTTCTCCTCGAGCTTGTCGACATTTTTCTTGTAGCTGAATACATATCTGATATGGCGTTTAATTTCTTGGAAGATGCCTTTCGCAATCTCCGAAGAAACGTTGGCAGCAGCGTTAGTACCAACTTCCATTTTTTTAAAAAAATTCAAGAGACAAGAAAAGCAAATGACAGAAGAACAGAGACAACAGGGGATCAAGCAGACCCAAAAATGAAAGTAGCAAGACCAATAAAAGAATAACGATGTGAGCAATCCAGATAATCAAAACGTTGAGAAATTGGAGACGGCGGCATTCTCCATTAGCTATATAGCTATGAACAAAGAGGCAACTAAAAATGAAAGTGAAAGGTTTCTGGTTTTTTGGGTGGAAAGTAGAGGAACGTAAGAAGCCGATACTTTTGAGGTGGAGGGCAATAGATGAGAAGGAAACAACAGAGCAAGCAAAACACAAAGAAAGGAAAACAAGATAACGGAAGACAAAAGCAACAAAATGAAAGGGTTTTGAGAATGGATGAGCAAAGAACGCTTAAGATAACAGTGATGAGTTGAGCAGAAACGCTGTGTCAAATTATGGAAGCCAAAAGCAACAAAATGAAAGGGTTTTCGATACCATTATGGCCATTGAAAGTGACTGAAGGCAAAACATAAAGATTGACTCTTGACGTGATGTGAATCAAAACAAAAAAACAAATTCGGTTGGGGGCCACGCGCTCAATTACTGTAGTTTAAAAGTTCAAAACGGAAGAGCTTTTCTTTGTCGTGTGAATAGTGAATAGTGAATAGTATACTGCTTGTTCAATTACAAAGAAAGACTCACCTTTTTTGCAGCACACGATTTCCATATTCCATTTGTGACGCAATGCAAGACTTCAACCACGTAGAGTTTGGTCGTCTCTGTTCTGCTTCCGTTCACTATCCTCTGTTTTTCTCAACCCTTTTCATGTCCTTCGAATGTGTGGCTGTGGCCATGGCCATTGCTACTGATATTCCATCAAAAGCAAAAGAGTTAGTTAATAAATAATGGCTAATTTTTGAATACATATAAAGTAAAAAATTATCTGTATTTTATCACATTATTATTGAAATTCAATCACTTTATAAAATATCGCATCTTTACGGTGAATAAATTGAAGTATAAAAAAGACTCACCATTAAGTCTTTATTGTACCTTTCCTTTTTTAGAATAATTGTATATAATAATAAATCCTCATTAATTATTTATGCAGATTTTATTAAACAAGTAAATAATATATTTGTCCAAAACGAAAGAGAGTAGATCCAAGCTAAAAAAAAAAAAATCAAGTTTCCCTATTTGGTGCAGCTGTAATTTTTTCTTTTAACTGGAAGAATTAATTTGTAATCGCAGAAAGAACAAGACGTGCCAACAACTCTTGATTTAATATTTTCATAAAGACGTTTAATTATAGGCCATTGAATAATCTGGCCAATATTTAGGAATGTCAGTCTGTAAAAGTAAGGTAAATTATGATTTTCATGACAAAATTAAAAGTCATGATTCTTTATGATTTTACTTCGTTCTTTCCTTTAGAATCTGGGAGAAGTATGCTCTTTTACGACTTGCTTAATGATTTGTTACATAATGGACTCTCCATATTTAAAATGATTTGAATTATAACTGGCTAGATTATTTACATACTCCTATACAAGTTCATGAAAGCTTTTGGGCAAAAAAAAAAACAAAATATTGAAAGAAATTTTTAGAAGGTTAAAGACGCAAAAGAATGGCAAAGGACAAAACACAAAGATTCTTTAAAATTTCACCATGACGTTGGGATAATTTAGAAAAATTTACAATATGAAGGTTTTTATTTGCTATTTAATAAAATTTGAAAAGTGCATCAGGTTTTTTTTTTTTTTTTATGTTTGCATCTTGTGTATTAAAAATATGAGATTTTTTAACGAAATTTTATATAGAGCCAAGTTTCTTTAAAATATTTTTAAATTTCACCAAAACATCAAGAGAATTTAGAAAGTTTTCAGAAAGAAACAACAGAGCAAGCGAAAATCAAAGAACGTTGTGTTAAACAAGAGAGCAAGCGAAATAAAAAGAAGGGAAGAAAGATAATAGTGATGAGTTAAGAGCAGAACGTTGTGTTAAACAACACAGCAATCTGTACACCAAAGCTTTGCATCATGTATCAGAATCATGGGTCACCAAAGGCAAAACATGATGACTGACTCTTGACATGCATCAAATAAAACAGACGGTGTCGGGACACTTGCTCAATTATTGTACTACGAAGCGTAAAACGGGAGAGCTTTTCTTTGACATGTGAATAATATACTGATTGTTCAAAAATAAAGCAAGACTTAACCAAAAGTGTTCGTTTTTAAGCACACCATTTCCATTTTCCATTTTGCATGGTCTCAGGTGAAATTTTGGTCCCCCCTTTTCTGCTTCCATTTGCTTTCCTCTGTTACCCTCTCGCATCAAGCTTTTCATGTTCGTTGAATGTTTGGCCATGTATCATAATCGTAGGCCACTAGAAACAAAACATATTCACGTGCAGAGTTATTGTGTCCTAACGACAAGACGGGATAGCTTTCATTGACCTGTGCAATGAAGGAAGCCTTACCAAAACCAAGTCTGCATTTTGAACCTTTTGCATTTATGATGGCCTGCGGAAGATAAGGCGAAAGTGGCCATTCATGATTTGTCAAGGGGAAATAGCAGGTTTTACAATAAATTACCTTACTATATCATTGAAACCCAAATGAATTAACGTTTGATTATTTGCAGAGGTAGATTAAATTGTGATTTTCATGAGAAAAATCAAGTCAAGATATTTTTTTATAATCTCGAAAAAGATAGTTTATCCTTTATGGTAGTCATATACATATTTTTGAAACTCTGAAATAAAATAATGGAGAGAAGTACTTCAACCCCATTGCTCTGTGAGAGTTATAAAAAAAAATTATGAAAAAACTAATTTTAGAAAAATTGGTATTTAGAAAAATTTACAAGATGAATGTTTTTGTTTGCCTTTTAATGAAATTTGGAAATTGCATCAATTTTTTTTTATGTTTGCATAATGTGCATTAAAAATATGAATTAAGCTAAAAAATTAAAAACAATCTAAAATGAGATTTTTCAAGGTACTTTTAGAGACAAGTTTCTTGAAAATGTTTTGAGCTTGAAGAATGTAGTGAAAAAAATTCATATTTTGAGCTTTTGATGATTAGAGCAATTTAAAAAGATAGTTTGATATTAAAATGAATGGAGCATTAGCCTTTATTAATCTTAATTAAGTCTCTATTTACCCCTCTTTACTACAGACTCAACATTACAAGTGCTTAACTCGATTTGAAAAGCAAGACTATGCACTAATTACGGATATTACGAACAACATTAATTTGGGAGGAAAGATAGATCTTAAATAGTTATACCATATATTAATTGATTATCATTGTTCCATCGCTTCTTTAACAAGAATGAGTGGAAAGGGGACAAAATTATACGTGAACTTTCCGCAGACAAATCTTTTGTAGCGTTATATATATATATATATAGGAAAAAAAAACCTTTAGCTTTGTATTGTCTTGTTTTGCAACATTCAAAGGGTTATTAAATTATTTAAATTTTGAAGTAACAAACATTAAATTATTAAATAGAAATAGGCCTTTTGCCAATAAATTATCTTACTTTGTGCTATTGTATTGTGCTTAAAATTTCTAGATCCACTCCTGTACCAAGCTCTGGTCATGAGCATTGAACATGTGGCCATGCATCAATCAATCGCAGGCCGCTAAAAACAAAACAAAGTCACGTGCTATTCAAATGAAGCAAGTAAAATACACGGGGGTTTGGGCCCACGTGATCAATTATTGTCTGACAAAACTTTTCGTTGACGTGTAAAGGCTGCTTGTCCAAATATGGAGGAAGACTCACCAAAAGTCTTCGTCATTTCTATACAATTATTCAGCAATAAGTAAGATCAGTTCCTTTCTTTTTAGAATAATTGTGTATGCATCTTGTCATGGCCACTTGGCGGCTGTCAGCTTATCGGTTCCGTCAATCGTCAACGGATGGCCTATTCTTGATTTTTATTGACTCATATTTGAAGTTACGATTTAATGGGTGAGCGATGACTCGGCTTCGACGACGAACCTTTTGAAGTATTATCTTAAGATGAAATCAACTGTTTCTGGAAAAGTATCGGAGACGTTGTTTTCGTTCGCACCTTTTAATTGAAGTTTAATTTTTTTAACTAGTTTTATATCTATACAAGGGAAAAGTAAATCAATTATAATTTTGGCAACATAAAATATTATTTAAAAAATCAAAATGTTTATAATTTAGATAAAATCAAAATATAGAAATAAAACTAGAATTTCTGCAAAGCTGGTAGCGAGACTTGAAGTTGTTCTTTAATTTGTCTTCAAGATCCTTCACTTTCTTCACATTTTCATTCATTACCTTGTCTACTCCGTTGCACCAAAGCTCAACGCCCGATTTTATCTTCTTCATAGCAATTGATATCCTGTTATGGGGTATAAAGTACTTACGGGTAACTGACTTGATTATTTATGATTAAGTTATTTTATATTTCAGTTTACGATAAATTTAAATAATAAAATTATTATATGTATCAAATTTAAGTATATAATATGTAAAATTTTATTAATGTTTTAAGTACGAACTTGTATAAAGATAAGAAACACTCCACATCTTTACCAATTTTATCAACAATTCAAATTATTAGAAATTGACAAATATATTAATGAAAAGTTATTATTAGTTAAATTATTAAGTTGATGTTATTAATGTATTTAAATTAAAAATTATTAAATTATTATTTATATTTAAATAATATAAATATCACATTATATTATAAAGAATATAATTATTATATATATATTTTTAAAATAAATATATTTATTTTTTATTTTTTATTTTATAAAAATTATCATTTATAAAATTATTAATTATAATATATATAATTTTGTTTATGTAAATTTATAATATATATCTAATGAGTATTTTTTGGTTTGACTACTTTTATATTCCTGGATGTTGGATGTTGCGGTAAAAAGAGAGCAAAGGAAAGAAAAGCTATCACACAGGAGAAACCGACGCTGGGTCAGTTGAAATTTAACATTGACGGAGCGACCCAAGGTTGTCCTGGACCAGTTGAAATTGCAGGCGTTTTGAGGAATGAGAAAAGGGAGGTGTTAATTACCTTCTCCAAACCGATTGGCACTGTTAATTCTACTACAGCTGAGGTTCTCCTTGTGAAGGAGGCTTTCTTGATCTTCTCAGATTCAAGATGAAAAGGCAATCACTGCTGATTGATAGTGACGCGCGCAACGTTGTAAAATGTACTAAAGATCTTGCGAGTGCGCCTGGGAGGCTGAGATTTTAGATGATACAAATTGACAGGTTAAAGGAGATAAGTGCTATATCAGAGATCAGACATTCATTGAGCGAGGCAAACCAAGAAGCTGACACATTGGCTAATGCTACCATCCATCTTCAGAGTGAGGTTTTAAGAGTGTACTAATCCCCTTTTCAATCTTGGTTATGTGGTGGTGAGTTTCAGCTATGGCTAACCTCTGGTTT